ACACACACACACACTGCGATGAATGCAGCAGGAGATTTACCTGGAGCCAGGGGTGTCCCAGGGCCTTGCCCACGCTGAACCTTCGCTTCACGGCCACCTGCAGCAGGTGGCTGATGAGGCTGATGGCTGCAGGCGGTGGAGAGAAGGACACGCGGGCCGCGGTTAGGGAGGCTCTGTCCACGAGCCCACCCCCCCCTCAGGCATTTCACAGCTGAAATCATCCCTCCAGCCATCTTCTGACCCTCAACCGACAGAGGCTCATGGGGGAGCTGGAGTCTATCCCAGCAAGCAACGGGCGCAAGGCGGGGTACACCCTGGGTGGGACACCAGTCCACTGCATGGCGCACACTTAGACCAGAAGCCAGTTAACCTCCCAGCATGTCTTTGGACTGCGGGGGAAACACCACGCAAGCCCACGGGGAGGGAACGTGCAAACTCCACACAGACAGCACCCCAGAGCGTGAACTGAAACCAGCGCCCCAGCAACGCTCACCCCTGCGCCTCCGGGCCGCCCACAGAGGCTGAAATCCGTCGGGATTCAATTTACTGAACCGGGCGGGCGAGAGACCCCACCGTCAGTCTCGCCCCGCTGTGGGGCTTCGCTCCGGTTCGGAAATTCTGGTCCAGAGGAAACAGCCCCCCCCTGCTGCTCCAACATCTGCACGGCCAGCAGCAGCCTAACCCTCACCCAGCCCCTGTGCTGCTCAGGCCCAGCATCTCAGCTGACCGATTCCCCACCGGATTCCCATCGGGAATCCTACTCCACTACACAGCTAGGCGATTTTGTTCCAGGCACCTACTGCTCTTTGCGTAAACCACTTCCCCCTCCCATTTCCAACAAAAGGGGCTCAGTTCCTTGGCTCGGGCTCCTGGCTGGCGGCCGCCCGGGTGCCCTTCAGTCACGACCGCCCCCCCCCCGCCCGGCTCACCTTCCGGGGAGACGTGCGCCCAGATGTTCTCGGGGTACATGAAGGCGGCGCTGCGGATCTGCTGGCCGATGTCCTCGTCCTCGTTGAAGGGGAAGGTGCCGCTCAGGCTGACGTACAGCACCACGCCCACCGCCCACATGTCCAGCGCGCGGTTGTAGCCGTGGGCGCCGAGCACCTCGGGCGCCAGGTAGGCGGGGGTGCCCACCACCGAGCGCCGGAAGGACTTCTCCCCGATGATCCGGGCGAAGCCGAAGTCGCACAGCTTCACCTGGGAGAGGAGAGGGAGACACCCTTGAACATCGCCGGAAACGAGGCAAGTCGGAGCTTCGGAGTCTCGCTGGAGGACTGGCAGGGCCCGTTAAGATCTGGGCCCAGCGAAGACCCAGAGCGGAGGCACCACAGGTGCTGGAGTGGTGAGCAGGGTGCTGCCCGCTCGGAGGCTACTCGCGGTCAGAGTGGAACCGCGGCCCCGGTTTCTCCGAGGGGTTAGTCAATCTTGCCCTCGGAATAAATCCGTTGACGTTACAGGACGATTTGACCAATTCCCCCCGGAGCACAGGGTCGTGGACTCCCGGGGAGGTAAGTCGCCGCGCTGTGATGTGAAGCGGCCCTTCCTGCTCACTAGTCCCGGGCCTGGCTAGAGCACTCTGGTGCACGAGAGAATTACAGACGTTTCACCACAGAGGTGTTCCAACTTGATCTGCTGGTGTGTGTGTGTGTGCCCACTGAGTTCACAAGGAAATTGTATTTGTCGGCAAAACCATCTGGAAGTGGAGAGAACCGTTTCTAGTGGATTGAAAGAGCTGGATTCACAAGCCTGCTGGTTTACAGTGTCTAAGGGCTGCCAACGCGTCACCGTAAGTCTTGTTGCCTCGTTCTGAATCGCAGAACAAATATAAAAATAGCCTGGCTGCTTTCCTTTTAAAGGCCAATTCCTGTACATTTAGGAACTGAGCACAATTAAACCCGTTCCTGGGTCTGTTCAGGTGGAAATAAACCAGGGGTGCGAGTCCCCTTGTCCAGGATCGGGTGCCCCTGAGTTAGTGGTTTACTTCCGGGTTACACAGTGCATGCGGTGACCTCTGACCTGTGGGAAAGGGTCAGGAGAGGCCAGCAGGACGTTCTCGGGCTTGAGGTCGCAGTGGGCGACGTTCTTGAAGTGCAGATAGCGCAGAGCCTCCAGGATCTGTCAAAACAAAACCGAAACCAGAAACGGGGTGCTTGGTCTTCCCACAACGCCGAGCAGAGGAGACCAACCCCAGCAGTCCAGACGGCGCACTCCGCCCAATTAGCACGGTGGACTGACCTGAGTGACCAGGAAGCGGGCAGTGCGCTCCGGCAGTCGGCCCCTCTCGCTGGACAGGATCATCTCCAGCATGTCACCATGGAGCTTCTCCATGACAACGAAGATGTGCTCGGGGGTCTCGAACATGCCCTCTAGGTTGACCACCCCAGGGTGATGGAGGTTCTGAAAGAGAGATGGACCGGTCATTTGGC